TTTTTTTAAATATATGACTTCTAAACAACGAAGGTTGGTTATATGCTCATGAAAAATTAAATAATGTAAATATAAGATATATTATATAATTATATAATAAGAGTAATTTTAAATTAAGATGTGAAAAACACCTCACGTGATAATTTACGTAAAAAAATTAAGTGAGTGTTTCCGAATTAAGTATTTAAATAGAATATTCCAATCATATATAGTCTTCTAATCTTTAGTTGAAACTAAAAATTTTCTTTTATTCAAAATTTTACGAATACTTTTTACATTATATTTTTTCATAATTTTTTAAGTGCTAAAATATTAAGTAATTAATTAAATAATTTAAATTAGAACGCTGTTGAAAACTAGAGCATAATTTAAATTTTAATTGATTACGCTCTAATTTTTTCGAATCTATTTAAAGTATATCTTTAATTGTGTGATTTTTAAATTCTTTTATGGCAACATTATTTTGCTTTATATTACAATAATTAATGCAAAATTATGTTCTTAATAATATAGATTAAATTGGATTAAAGAATTGATATGTGCACTAAACGTATCTGTTACTAAACACTGTATTTATTCTCTGCTTAACCTGATAACCCTTGAAAGATTAAACATTTCACATATGTCAATACGTCATAAGATCAGCAAAACAAATAATTTCGCTTTTTTTATAACTTTACTTGCCTTTCAATATAAATATTTTTCTATTTAACAATTGTTACGTAATTGGTATTTCAGATTAATCTACATTTCAAAGAACAATTATAGCCTAAATACAATTAATTTTTTACAAGAATTGAAGAACAATTAAAGTTCAATAATCTTGTTAAACAATCAGCTTCAAATAAAAAGAAGTCTTAACAATAAACAAGAATAGCAAAGATTCCAAGAATAAATTGAAAGAAAATGAAGGAAAAATAAGCCAACAGATACGCAGTAATAACAATTAATATATAGTTATCTACTACATTATTATACTACATTATTATTACGCGTAGTTAATTAACATAAAATAAGTTCAACCGCAATTTTGGATTCTTTTCAATGCATATTAATGAACATAAATCATATACATATATTTGAACAGTAGAACTTATTAAGTTAAATAAAACTACAATAACAGTGTTATAATAAAGTATTGAAATACGAAACAATAGTAACAAAATAAATAAAGTATTATTATTGTGCATCAACATCCGTGTTGGCTCTTATTAGCTTATCTTCCCTTCATTTATATTTAAAAAAACATTTTTTAACACGAAACTATTCAAGCAAGAAAATTTATTATGCAGATTATATTGAGATATAAAATAATGAATACTTAAATTTCACATTATAGTAAACAAAAAATTTGAAACATTAATGATAAAGATATAGCATATAGATTCGATAGTAGATATATTATGCGATGTATGTATCCAATCAAAGAGATAAAAAAAGTAATAATTTTAAACGCAGCTCACTTTTTTAATAATTCGGCAACGTTTCTACTGGACAACACTCTTGACTTCGTTAAAAAGATAACGTATCTTAAAAAGTAAACGTATCTCTGGATAATAAACAGATACTTTAATTACGTTTAAAAGATTGTTTTAGTTAAATATTTAATTTACATTTCAATTACGTTTCTAAGCAATTACTTATAAGGAAAACGATTCTAGAAAGCAAGTAAACATCTAAGCGAATAAAATTCTATGAGCACATATTTAGCTTGTACTTTGAACAGTCGTCAAACCGACAGTACCGGACATATAATCTTCATTAAACGGATTTCAAATTCTGACAAAGAATAAACGTGACTTACGTGTACAACGACTGGGTCTCCACCTTCGCTTTACTCTGATCTGTTATATTTGTTTAATGTCAATATTAATTATTTTTTGTGTTTTTATTAAATCACTATATTGCAGTTTTTCTATTGACATCTAGAATATGTTTTAAGCGCGTTGAGTTATACTTTTTTAGTATCTTCTATATAGTTTACATATTCTTATTTACTTATTTATTATTTATTTCCGAGGCACTCTTTCAAGGCAAACTTCTGACGAACCACTCCGAAGCGCTTCTCAATGGTTCAAAATCCTTAGCAGAATCCAACACTGCGATAACCGGATGTTCAGCGTGCTAATCCTTGGAGCTATGCTCTCACGGTTTCAGCTTCGTTGAACCTTCGCGAGACTGACCAGTTCTTTACCGAAACACACAACAGTTTACAGTTTTCCTCGCCGAAGAAGCGTTCTGATCGCGCAGTAGTGGGGCACCGCAAGTCAAAATGACCATGAGTCAGGTCGTATCATTCAACTTATCTGAGGCAGAACGTCTTAGGCTGACGTTGAGGCTGACGAGGAAAATAGGAGACAAGTGTAGTGTGCCTGGAGCACCCACTCTTCCTGGACGATATCGCGCAAGAAGGAAGACTGGGGAATCCTCGGACGCACGTTCGATGAGTCACAACTCCACGTGTTGCCTCGCCGTCAGTGTAACTATGATCAAAGCAAATCCGAAGACTTATTAATGTATTTTTTCAATGACGCGAGTATCTTTCCAATTATGTAAGCGGGCGTTCAAAAAATTACACAATAATTCTTCTTTATTTTCCTTCATTTTCTCCTGCACCTTTTTATTTTTATCTTGCTGTTCTCTTATACCTGCATCCGCAATGTAGTTTCGTCATTTGTGATCAATCAAAGGATTAAAATTTTTCATATTTCTTTTAAATTAGGTGTGTCAGAGACGTCAGACAAAGTAAACGTCAACAAAGTAAGATTTTATTCAGTATTTCCTTTAAAGATTTAGATTCTCGGTTTTTTTGTTTGTACGCGTTTATTGTCTTTGAAAAAATTAAGAAAGAATTAGCGAAAAAAGAAGTGCAGTCATCATTACAGAAATATCTTTTATCATGCAGTAAAAGTATAAAGATCGAAAAAAATAAATTATCAAAATTCAACTCATCATGTACACATTCATTAGGATATGCAGAATACTTTATTCATATTGGATTAATTTTTAAATTTGAAATTGATTTTTGTTTAACAAATTCGTTAAAAATAAATTACTATTTTTTACTTTTCTTAGAAAATTTCTATGTAAAATTTAATGTTTTAATTATTAGAGAGACATTAATTTCAAAACATAATTAGGATAACATCTACTTTAAATGTATTGTAATAAAAAAAATAAAGCGAGAATAAATTGTTAATCCTTTAAATTCTTTGCTATTTCTGGTTAAAAGTAGAGATAAGCTCGTGGTAACACTTCCGGCATACACGAATAGGAAGATAATGCAAGTTGGATTATAAGAGAAAAAATTTATATCTTGCAATTAAATTATATTTTATTACGTTTCGACAAAAATATACATATACATACACTCAATGTTTAAGGAAATTATAATGCAAAAATATAAATTATAATAATGTTATTAATTAACATTATTAATATTATATATTAATTGTACACGACGTTTTGAATAATAGTAACATTTTTAACAATATTAAAGCATGCTAGTTTCTTTCTTCTAATAATAAGCAATTTTTATTTTTTAAATGTTACTCAATATTTTTTTAATGGTTCTCTAAACATATAAAAAAATTGATCATAAAGATCTGTGTTCTTGTTTCCTCGAAAGGAAATTACATAAAGTTTGATTTATATGAAATAGACTATATAATAATAATAATACATCTATAACTTATTTATCAGGTTATTTGTATACGTCATGTTGATTTGGCTCCAAATGATGTCTATTTACTTGTTTATCTTAAATATAAAAATAAAATGAGAGAGAGAGAGAGAGAGAGAGAAAGAGAGAGAGAGAGAGAGAGAGAGAGAGAGAGAGAGATAAGATATAAGATATTTTGAATAGCTTAATAATAAATGTACAACAGAAATAATATAGTAAGCTCATCCATTTGTATAAACTATATCAAATTTTTAATTAAAAAAGTATCTGAAAAAGTATTGAATTTGCATTCTTGCAAGAGAAAAATTAATATGAGAAACATTAATCAATAATGTTTAATTATTACATAAATTTAACAATGTCACATCTTTAGAAATACTATATGACATCTCTTTTTACGCGCGCATAGTGTTGCTTTTTTTATATATAATATTATTTATTTTATATATATATATATTATTATATAATAAAAGTATGTTAATCGATATAATAATTTTGATTATAATAACGCAACATTTTCAAACTTTTCTATAATTTTTTACCCTATAATATTACAAAATTTTAATTTTACTATCTAATATGATTACTATTTTATGATTGTAAACGTTTAATTCTTATTCCTTCCTTAACGTCACCATTCACACATTTTGTACCGCAATGTT